GCACTCATGGTGTAATTGTTCGTCACGGAACTGAGTGTTTGCAATGGAACTCTTCCATCTTCGAGCGTGTCATAGACTTCCATGCCGCAATAATTTGTGTCATGTCATGTAAATAACAAAATTTAGGAGCATAAAACTCTTCTGACTGTGTGTGTTTCGACTGATTCCCAGTGATATGACAAAGGAATCGTGGGAATGTGTAGTGCACACCGACAGTATGGAAAATGATCAAACCAACATGCGCAAGGAAGCTAATTTGATGCGACAACGATCTGATAATTTATTTTAGGATAAATTTCTAAGAAAAATCTTATATTTTTACTTTTTTTTAATTGTAGGATCTCTTTTTTTATTTTATTTTGACGGTGCGTCCCTTATTTTTTCAAAAAATTAATATGACCCTTGTGATTGTCTTCACTTCATTATGGCTATCACCGTCATCATTAGTGGATGGGATTGACTCCTCCAAGGAGAAATAGATGGTGGCCTATGGGATTGTATTGTTGATGCTTGTACTTCCTACTTCTTAACGATGAAGGGCAACGCCTCGTGGTGATGAAAAAATTTATCGTCATTTGCATTGTCTCCAAAAAGATCAACGGATTTCTCATCCTCGATTAGTGCGATGATAGTCCCCTTCGTGATCTCTCTTACACTAACTTCCACCTTCATCGCTCCCTCATCGTCACCCTCAGCGATGACACACACACTCTCTCTCTCTCTCTACCTTCCTTGTCTCATCCTTCGCAATGGTTATTATAGTATCACATTTCCTTCCTCCATGCGCTTATCCTCATTCATACCTTTATTGAGGAAGGCAGGAGTGAGAGGTTTATGATCTTAGAGGTCATCGTTGTGATGGAATGAAGGTCGGCATAGTGATAATATCACTATGAGAGTGATTCCCGAAAGACAGTATATAAGACATAGGTTGTAATAAAGATAATCTTATTTTTTCGATAATAAAAGACGTTATGTAAGAATAAAATAAAATTAGGGTGCTCCACAACAAAAACTAAAAAACTTAGATTTTTTTAAGATAAATTATTTATTTATTTAAATATTTATTAGTATTTACTCAACAAAAATCTTCCTGTATATCATGGATCATGGCAGCCTAATATTAGTGCTTCGAATGAATTAAAATCTTAATGATGGAGAATCATAGACTTCCAATCGTCACATCGCGTCTGGTATTTGGTTTCAATCATTGCTTGCTTATCATGTTAATTTAAAAGAAGATGGACCATTTGGTGGTCATCGTTACGAATTGATGATGATAAGTCAGCCGAGGGTTCCGTTGAAATGTGAGCAATTGAAAACATCTCTTTGTCGGCTATCATTATATGCTGCTGATGATGACGCCTGAAGACATTACAGATGCATCATCATCATCATCACAAGTTGAAAGGAAAGGGGAAACAGAATGATTCGAGTAATTGTGAGATGCTTAATTGCTTTTGCTGCTGATTTCTTTGCGAGTGTTCCCAGAAAGAGCTGATTCGCATGTAATTGCTAATATGATTCCAAAAGTACATTGGAAGCTCTCGAAGGTTTCATGGACAAGTTCTTATCCTGTCCATATCCATTTACACACCATCATCAACCTCTAATCAATACGTAGCGAGCCATTAATGTTTCTCTTTGATCACAATAGGACAGCAGTTCAAGCAACCTGATTACTGGGAGCTGCTTTGTCTTTCTTATCCTTTTCTTGCCTGTACTCTCCGCAGCAGTAGGAGGCCAAACCCCAGAGTGAGAGGGCGAGAGCGACGCCTTTCTCGCTGCTGAAGTTTTCTTTGAAGAAGACGACACCCAACACCTCGGTCACCGGGATGAACACCGAGATGAGGATGGCGGCGAGCAGCGTGTTCACGCAGAAGATGACACCCACTGTGCCCAAGAAGAAGGATTGCCATACCACGGCGTTCCAAACAAGTATCACGTAGTATCTAGACTCCCCCCATTCGGAGTGCCTTGCTTCACGTGGAATCGCCTGCAACATGTTCAACTCAATGAGATGGTGAAATCACGACACAAAGATTGCCTGTACTTTCTTGTACGAAAAGCAAGTGAAATTGGATCTAAATAGGTCAGTCGATGATGAGTAATGAATTAAATTATGCACTATGGTTCACTTTGGTGGAGTTTTCTGGTGTAACAAAGTGCAGAGGATCACTTTCCATGTGATATAACAAGTAGTAAACAGGGGAGAAGTTGCAGAGTGATTGCTTTCGTCATCAGCTTCTCCCTAATCGTATCGTCTCGCAGAATCTAACAAGTGAAAAGACTCGGTCGGAGGAATCGACTTGGCAGTCTTGAAACCCAAGGCAGAGAACGAAGGTCACCTGGAAATCCTTGTTCACTAGCATCCCCACGGTGCAGAAAGCGGTCGCGAAGAA